AAACAGTTAGCGATTTTGTATCGTTAGTTATGGCCGACCGGTGTATTATAGAATTGCGTGACGTTGGCTGCCTGCGCTGTTATCATCGCCACACGACGTATGTGTGGCCAACAAACGTTGGATCCCGCGATAGCGTCAAGTTTGGAGCTAAGGAGTTGAACTCAGCCACAATGGAGCTACAGGCACACAACTCGAGTGAGGTTAACGAATTGCCTTACGTATAATAGAAGACACGAACCACTTATCTATAATTAAATAAAGAAATGGGGATCAGTAATGATAGTCAAAAAATATATAGCACACTTTGAATTGGCTATGGTGGACTGTAACTGCTTAGCTTGTACTGCTTTTAAAAGACACCTGCACGATGCAGCAAGGTATGTTTCTAACTTGATGGGGGACAGAATACTAATTGAATTGTGATAAGTTTCAGAACTTTATGTTAGTATAGTGCTTTTAACAATCCTTCAGTGTTCGATTTTAAAGGTGACGTTTTCTGTTTTTTTTATTGTCCTTTAATAAAAATACGCCAACCACCATTATATATAATGGTGGTTTATGTATATAGCTCCTAAATAAATACTATGAAACGAAACGAACAAATAAAGAAACTATTTTGACCTTTGTACTATATATCGAACAAAGAAAGCACACTTTAATGATACCTATTTGACGTACGTCGAATAACATGGTCTGCTTGACAGACGGGAATTTGAATGCAGTACAGCCATGCAAACACAGACACGCGTCTGCTACTGATCAGTGATCTGAGAGTTTTTGCCAGTTGAAAGGAGGTGCCATTTCTATCAAGACGAGTGTACGATACAGCTGCCTCGTTCTGATACGAACTTAGCGCGACAGACATGAGCGGGCGGCAATCTATTCCCGTTTACTTGGGCGGATATTCGCCTAGGATAATGACGGATAACCATAAGACAATAGCTCCTTGTTTTTTACCACAAACTGGCACCTTCGCGTCGAGGAACATAACCTTCTCCGACTGATCAGAACTGCGCACACCACAGTATTTATATTGCTAATGCGACCTGGCTTTGGCCTGGTCCCGAATGTGGCATGACTTCTATGCGGATATAAAGTGAGGTATTAACTCGCGTGGAAGCCCACATTGGTAGGGAACTTGGGTCCGTTCTTGGTCTGAGATAAAGTGCTATATTTTAGGCGAGACCACGGGCCAACTAGAAAAAAATTGCTGAAATAAATAACGCGTAGATTTTATTAAAGATACTGCTGTAAATATTATTATATTAGTGCTATGTAGAATTACATTTTTGAGTTGCTCTTTCCTCGTTGAGAAAAAGAATCAAATCAATTGGACGGCTCATTTTAGAAAGTGGTTTCGTACATTCAGAGATGTAACGGTTTGTTGAATGTGTGGGTTAGTAGCTGTAGCACAGCAAAGCCAAGGGAATATAACGAAACATCAGCATCCTTTTTCGTAGACGACCAAATATTACGAAGTATACAGTGCTAGCCAAACAGCTTTTCGAAGTAATTCTTTTACTTCTAAGGCCCACATATGGAGTTCATTGGTGTATATTTAACAACTAGTGGGTCCCTGTAGGCTGTTAGTTCATAACGTTTCCACTATTGTCTTTTAGGAATTTCACAGGCGATGATCGTGCTAAGTTATCGAAACCGAAGTGCGGCACCTTCATAGCAACGGTGTATAGCTAACAACCTACGTTATGCTGCAGTGTTTGAGGGAACATTTACGAGCGAGCTGTTGCGTAAGCTAAATGCTTCGTAGTTAATTGCATCATTGAAGTGTCCCGGTTAGATGGTGCTGTGATACCATATCTGCTCATTAAACCTAGGATCCTGAGAAATGCCGTCGGTTCAGAACCGAACGTAGACTCTACTCGTTTTTGTGTTGCAAACGTCCAAAGTAATCTATCATAACTAAGCCAGTATAGGAAAAAAAAACGCTCTGTGTAGAGGCTTGAAACAGATGAAAAGCCTTGAAAAGACCCGGAATGTCCCACAACTTTCTGCTGCAAAATCTCTAACTTAGTAACTTCGGCGCACCTCGTCAAAATAACTTGAAAAATTGGGGAATAGCCTGAGGTGGGTACTACCGACACTGTAGATCGTTTTCTCGCGCGGCGTATGGCGCCCTATAGTCACGAACGACGCCACGAACTTGTTTATTGTATGCATACAAACAAAATCCTCTAGTAAAGAGAAACGGCTGTTGCAAGCCACATAGTGGATTACCAACCGTATAAAAAGGAAGTCTAAAAAAAGCAAATTTAAGGCTCAACCTTTTTATCTAGAGATCAAGATACGTGCACTCAGTTTTCTAGCAAAGTAGCTGAACGATATAAAGCATAGCTCAAATGTTATCCGAGCTTCTTTTTATTACATCTATGTATTCGTGTATGGGTATGACCTGAAGAGGAATATTTCGATAATCTTGTGTGACCCGACAGATTTGAGAAAGAAGGGAGGGCGGATATGGGAGAAAATAGCAAACTAAGGAAGCAATCTGTGTAAAGGGGTGTCGCTGTAATTTAGGTATACGCAGCTATCCTTTTCCGAGTCTCTCTTTCTACTCTCAGATTGTGTCGGCCATTCACCAATGAGTGCAGGGTCTGAGACTTTGGATCTAGAACTGAACATATTTCAGAGGGATCTAACATGTCCTTAATACGAGGGAAATATCTCGGGCGGTTGGCACGGGCTGGCAGCTTTCAATACATTCCTTCTGTCGATCTTGTTGCTTTTACCAGTACGTGTATCAGAAGTGGAAACACGCTTATCGCTGCTGGCGAAAAGACAGAGCGAGTGAGCAAACCCTCAAGAAAGCAGACAATAGGAAAATCAGAGGCGCATGTCCATGTTGAGAACGTCAACGGTATCGCACAGCCGTCGTATGCAACACGATTTTGAATAACGTTGTTTCGCCGCCTGACGCTAACTTCAAATGAGAATCTAAGGAGGTGCGAACGTTGAAATGTCTGAGGGATTTGTAAGAGCGCTAATGTGGCAACATCAAAAAAAAAACACCAAATCAGCAAAGAGTGTGAGTGATGAAGGAATCATGTGCTCTGCATCGGGCATAGGTTAAAGAAAAACTAACGAACCAAAAAAACAGATGAGTGTCGCTAAATACGCTGACAATGATGATAGTGCTTATATCTTCGTGAATATGTACAAGTGGCTGAAATTTTCGGATATCGTTACATATCTATGAAATTAAAAAGATCCTTATTGGAGATGTATCATACGAAGGAGACTTTACAATAACGGCAAATAGCGTTTTTGAGGTCGCATATAGTTGCGAGACGTAAAAATTTATACGCAAATATATTATTTATGGTTGCGCCTTTTTTGAATCGGTGAAAATTATAATATTTGACAGACATGTAAGTAAATTCAATGCGGAACATTCGTGTGATTCACAAATAAAGCATAAAGCGTCACTTATGAAGAAGGTATTAAACAGTAATTTAGAAAAATATTTCATTGTGGTCGGTTCGGAAAAATCTAGGTACTACTCACTGACTTGTATTCCAATATGTACTGAGAGAGTAACGGTAAAATTGGGCTTACAGGTTAGTAAAAGGTTTGTTTTCCCTTCATAATTACTACCACTGAAAGATCTGCTGCTTACCTTGTTTATTGCGATTAAGGTCTACATTTTTTCGCGCCTTTCTATCGCTTGTACCCTTCTGCCGCTATGTTCTACCATAGCTTCCAGTGGGAGTCCGTCCACCTGACATTTTCTAGGAGCAGAGTAAGTCAGCATTGATGCACAGTTTGTGCCGACATTTGGGAGCGCTGAGGCATCCACAAAGCTTTAGCTGAACAGCCATCTCTACAATCATGCTTCGCATACAAACAATTTGGGAAATTGTCTAGAAAATGTGCCGTCTCTACATGTTCCTTCCAGATAATCCAATGCAGATTTGCGTGTAGCTGTGCTCTCGCCCTCTTCACACATCCAATGCCACCTTCCCCTTACCCTGAAGAATAACTGGTCTTCGCTCATCCACAAAAGCTGAAAGGCAGCATCATTCCGCGATCTGCCGCGCAGAAAAAACGACATGTGCAGAGCGTCTCGGCTTCAGAAAGCCTAACTTAGAGTGTAACGTCTAGGACGCCAATATTTTGTTCTAAGTTCTCGATTTTTTACCTTCTCGTTTTTAGTCTTATTCCACTTCCCCTCAAGCCAACGTTCGTAATAACATTGCCGTTCTGCCTACTTACGTCTTCAACTAGTTTCTATGACAGGCGTCATACAACATATGCGTAAATATTAAATTTACACGTACCCAGAGGTGAACCGGCGTACACATGCGCGGTCCTGGGCACGTTGAGGATTTTGGACCTTGGCGGCACCCTAAGCGCGCAGTTGCTGTTTCCAATTATCTCATACTTCTCATAGCATATCTGTCAAAAACATAAAACGGTATCAGCGGAAAGTGTCCGCCTAGCAATGTAACCGTATTTACTTTTTATGCGGGTAGCTCTATTGCCACATTGTTATTGCTCTGTGCCATAACGCAGACGCCCGTCCGGAAATCGGGCACCCGAGCTATTCCATAGCGTATGCTTGTGGTGATGACTATACCTCTGGGTCCGCGTTGTGCAAAGCCGACGACGACAGCGAAGCGGCAACTACAATTTTAACAATAGAGTTTTAGCATCATTTGACAAATTCAGGTAAACAGGAAAAAGGCCACTAGTTAAATTTTAAAAGTATCACGTTGGAAATTGCACTGGAAAATAACTGTGGGCCTTGGTTCGAATAAAACAAATAATTTATACTGAGATGACATCATTTGGTATCGTCTTCGTTTTCATATTTAGGCCGACTCGGAAAAACAACAGCGTTTATATTATTCATGGAATAGAAGCAGAAACAACTATTTTTTGGGCGTCTGGACATAAGTACGATGAGACAGCTTATTTCTGCTAGCAGTAACGACACGTATTTAGCAGAAGGTCACGTTTTTATTTTCGAATAGCGGCACGATTAAAAATTCTGATTTCAAGATATAGACACTCAATGGTAGGTCCCTAAAGCACAATGTAGCTTGGTTGGAGAAATGGGTAATGGGGTATTCTCCTCAACTTGATTTCCTTTATTTTATAGTTATAGTTTCTCTTCAACATAAACCTGACGCATCTTAATTAGCATCAATTAATCCCATCCCGGCGAAAAGAATTACAATAGTGCAAGCCATTACTGAAACAGAAAGTATAAGTACGTAAGCAAACTCAACTCGTTTCAGAAGAATGAGCATGAGAATAGACATAGCTCAACGAATCCTTTGTACCCTTTACAAGTCACGAAATTTGTCACCGATCCTGAACCTCGATTCTACTTTTCCTTCCATGTATAATGCTGTTATGTGCATCCATCAATGTTTCTTACGCCACATATAACTTGCCTATATTTAATCGATCACGAAATGAGCACCACGTTTTTGTTTGCTCGCAGATCCATAGATAGAATGTTAGTCTGATCAATCCATGATATAGTACTTGAACCGAAACAGATTCCAACAGGGTAGCGCCTGAAAGGAAATTCTACATGAAACAAGATAAAGCATTTGAACCGTTCTTTACCTTGCAATGTAATCTGATTTTGTATGTTTGTTCGTTACCCTCAAATTGACAGGCTGGTCCCTGTGTCTACTAAAACACTCGCACATACATAAATTCATGCGTCACTTGCTCTCATCTGGAGAATGGACGCGACAAGACTGGTGATTCCGTCAGACATATCAAGGCCGTACTGGGTCGGCGAGTGAGAGGATGGTAACGAAGACGAAGGCCAGATCCACGAATAAAGTGCGAAACTGTCGACCCCAACAAGACGAGAGAATCATTCACGGGGAGCGAAGAGTGGAGTAGCGTGTGCTGGCTTTCGAAAATTGGTGCACACTGTTGGAATGGGCCAGTTTACCGAGCCATCCAACGAGCGGACGAAGGAAGGGCGAACGAGTCCGATTTGCCCGGCGTGTCAAACCGCCAGAGAATACGAAGGATCGAGGAGACGTCCCTCACGAGTGTGGCAGACCTTTTTCTAAAAAAACAGCAGAAAAAAGGTACGTCACCCAGCCTTTAGAAGGAAAAGGAGTGAATCCGGGCACCTCATCCAATTGTCAATCCCCAATTGGCCTACTCCATATTCATTTTCTAGAGACGGTCCGGCTTCTGTGTCATACGTTACTTTCATAAAAGAATAAAATTGAGAACCTTTTTGAATCCTCTATCCAATCGAAAAATAAAGTCTTGTATGCACCTGACTAACGTACGTACACAGTCTGGTATAAATATGATAGTCTCTAATTTGAATTTACTAGCATATCCATTCTTTTTGTACAAATTTACGGGTTAAATGCTTGACTGCAGACTAAGTCTTATGCCTATTTCTATTCTGACACTACAGTGCCGGATATTGGTAAGCTGTAACTGTGACTAACATAGTTTAACGCCCACCAAATGACCTCACAGGATGCAGTGTCTCAAAACGCATTAAACATAGACAGCCTGTTTGAATTTACATTATAAACCACTTGAATTCAATATATTTCATAAAAAAGTCAAGCCGATTGTTTGTTCTCTACAATTGAATGAAGAACAGCTGAAACTGGTAATGGAGTTGTTTACCAGCATGTGCACCCTTCCCCTTCACCCCCGAACAAATGTATTGTAATTTTATATATTAAGCGTTTCGTTTAAGATTGCCCTGCACCCCTAAAAAGTTTATTGTGTAACATTTCGACAATACTGTCGTGCAAATCTATACCTTTTACCCCAATTATTATCAACGCCCAGTAATTACATAGGAAATCATGTATAGCTCAAGCTTCACATATAGGCTTAGTTAATTTTGTTGGGTATGGTCAAACGCGAATAAAACTACTTCCGTAGCTTTCAAGTGGAGAAAGTTACTGAAATTATGATTCCGGTCGGAAGAATTATGATTACTTCATTTAGCGAAGAACAGAAATCTTCGGTGCCAAGCAAATTGAGTGATTACGACCATTGCGATATAGTTGTGTGCGTTCGCGCTTGAATCTGTATTGTCGTTACTGGTGCTTTCAGTAGTGCGGACATTTCGAGCTGCACACTCGTACGGCTACACACGTATTTGTAATAATGAAGACCCATATTTTATCTCGCTGCCATAATTTATTTTCCAGCTAAAATTGTACCGTCTGTCTTTCACGCCAGCTATTCTTATAAGCGAGTCGCGATGTGCATGCGCATTTCTTCTTTTCATTGTACCTTTGCAATGATTCAGTCTGTTTGTTTGTTCTTCTTTGTATATTCTTTGCTGTACAGATGGGTCGATTTTCATTATCGTTTTCGCGTCTATTCATTATTCTTTCCGCCCATTTACCATATTCGAGACTACGGAAGAGGGTAAGAAGCAGCCGTTGATATTTCACACGAGCACAATTCGCGCGGCGTGCGCTCGCACTCACAGGTGTGCATTACCGACCGTTCAGCCGATATAAGTAGCGAAGCAAGTGATTCATGTGCTATTTACCGGCAGGGGAACCATATAAATGACGTGTCTAATTGTATGCTCGTACCGGCGACGGAACGGGCTTTGGTAGAGTTGACACAGGGCCCAGCGTCGATCGAGCAGGTGATTGAGGTCTCAGCATTGTATGCGGCTATGTGTAAACTAAAAGAATACGATGGATTGTTCGTGAGCTTACTACAAGAAATTCTACATTGAATGGATATTCGCCAGCCAGCGGTAGTGTGCATGGAAAACTGAATTCCCGTGTAGAATTGGAAGTTCGTGTCACTGTTCCGTCTCTAAAGGGAGCTGCGTGTATTCCGATTTCAGGTAAGTTAGCTGTAACTGCGCTATGCCGTAGTAATTATCCCGAACGTACAGAAGGTTTTGTCAAGGCAATCTTGCGTCGAAAAATATTAAATTTACCTGGCTCTACTAATCGCTTAGGTAATAGTACCCGTCATATTTCTCAGGTCACAACGATTTAAGAAAGAATTTAAGTAAGACTTAGTGACGTTGGTCGTTCCCCACCCAAATTGTAGTGCTATCCCTCCTGCCTCTATGAAAAGTCACTGCCGCTATCATCCTGAGTTAAAGCTGGCTTTCGCCAAATGACGTACGTTAAACAGCGTCTCGCCCTTTCCCCTCAACCTCGACCGCGAGACGGCTACGCACTTCTTTTTTCTGCGGAAGTTTGTCTTTTTTTGTGCATAGATCTGTCCGGCCTTCACCACGACAGACTTGCATTTGCCATGTGATTTTTTCCCCCGTCACCTCTGTCACGTACCGGGTAGGCCAAGACCGCAACTGGCCTTCATGCTTACTCCCGGCGTCCGAACAGTTTTACCGTAGAGGTCTTTCCTTTCAACAACACATTCGCTCGAGGCCCTACGAGCAGCCCGCACAGTTAACTGTGTCCTGAATGTTAGGACCGACCGAAAAAAAAACTCAAAGGAATACATAGATTTAGTTCCCGAGCACGTCGTAGACTGCACGGAAAGAGTGGGCAATCGGATTTGCTGTTTTGGTGCGTGTGATTTTTGCATGGGGAAACTAACCGAGATATACTTTTTGCTATCATGACGTTAGGTATTACGGTCGAGATGGATACATGTATATAGAGCTATGGATATATCGCAGTGCAGAGCTATCGACTGGTGTGCCCATGTGTGATCAACTTGCTTAAGCTCTCAAACGTTACATCCATATACGACTTATCATAGACACGAGATATTTCATTTGTAGAGCTTTTTCTCTATGAATCGAGCATCTATAATAATCTAGTGATAGTTGGCATCATATAAAATCTTTCAGTTTCCAGAGTGGACCTTTAGGGCTGTATAATATACATACGCACAACGCGAAAGCCATAAACTAAATAATGAGCCCAACATGTACGTGTCTTCGACATACCCTTTTGGAAACAGAACGATTTTTAAATGGCACTTCCCGACCCGCAGAAAGCCTCCTAAACGCCTCCAGTTACAAACCTATAGATAAACCATACAATCGAATATACGCAATCGCTTATCAAATGCTTCTCGTTCTGTAAACAAGGCTTCACATCAGTAGCTTGTGTGCCCACTGTCTGTGTTCGTGGGTGTGCCTATATGAGGGGCTTCGCGTAGCTTTGATGACACAAACCAGCTGCTTTCTCTGCGTGCGTCCGTCCGTCTGTCCGGCGTGATAATAGTCTAGCCGTCCCTGGCCTTAGAGTGTTCACAACGGCTCTTGTAGCTGCTGCTCATGGTGCTGCAGTCACACTCCATGCCTGTCCTAATGGATGGACGGATTTTCATAGGCAAGCTGGGGTCGGGAAGCTTGAAGAAGGAAGAAAAACGCGGGCAAACCTACTGCCGCTCGGCATCAACTCGTCGCTGCCTGCCGTTAGTAGTCTTTCATGTAAAAGGCAGCAAAGGTAAACACTGCTACAGTGGATGAAGCTCGACACGTGATACTTCTGGTCCAATAGGATAGCCTGTGCTTACAGAAGAGCGGAGCAAAATGAAAGACAGGGAGGCATGATCAAATTTCGATAAGGGAAAATCTCGCCGAAAACTGCTCCCTTAAAGTGGGGGCATCAGAGAGAAAAAAGCGATATCAGAATAGGAAGTGAGGGGCTTTTCCGCAATGCGACTAAGGTAGAACGCTGGGTCTAGGCTTAGGCTGAGTTGGAATGATTCGAACCGAGACTAAGCACTGGATTGTTCAATTTAGGAGCTTTATTGTTGTACTAATAAAGGTCAATATTTATATAGCACAAACCGTGAAATAATACGTCTCTGATTAGACCTTCGTTATAACGAAAGATGTGTTATTTCTGTAACTATATTATTGAGGTTCCATGTTGGTCATCTTTGGCTGTAAATATGGATATTACTATGTGCCTTGGTTCACCTAATAAGAAAGTCAATTCCCGGCTGGTGGAATATTTAAAGAGAAGCGTTATCTGCTTCAGTGTAAAGAAAATACGGATCAACAACAAAAGTGGTACTCCTTCTCGTTGTCAAAGAATTTAATACAACTTAGTGTCTGAATTTTCCATGGGTCACATAGATATGAATAGATATGCAGCTTACCGGCGTTTCTTCCTTCGATAATTGATATAGGAACCGTATTCCAATACATCCTTAATTATGTGCTTATTTTTACGCGTATACCAATTGTTCTTTTCCCTGTACAAATAGCGCTGAACAAGTTTGATTCTAGGTTTTCCAGTAAAAAAGTCATGAGTGAAAAGTTGTTCTAGCAAACGCCGACTAAATACATCGTTAAATGCAGTTGTCGTATCGTTTGTAAAAAATAGAACTCTACGGGGTCTACGGAACGCCGGCCATCTTAGTGACAAACATAGTGACCATTGATTTGGGTTTCTATTCGTAAGTGAAATTGCCGTCCTTTACGATGCTCACTTTTTAGAGAGCCCAGATATTATAAACATTTTTTTGGGGGTGGAGTTTGCGATTCATGACATAATAGTTATATTTAAGTGCACTTAGTGTATCGTCTGAAGCTAAGTCAAGACGACCGTCTAAAAAAATACTGGACCTCGTAAAAGGCAGAGAAGTACTCCTTACTTACAAAAAGAAACGAACTTTAATTCAAAAATCACACATTTAATTAATTCATGCCGTGGAACTTTTTCTCTAGCCCGAGCACAGTTAGAGATCCCTATACTTTTAATAGTGAGCAAATATAATTAAGCAAGCACAGTTGCCAATGACGTGTAGCTCACGAATGATATTTATAGTCATCTTCCTCTGCATTATTAGCGATAAACATCTACTAGACATTAGGCGTATGAAAATTTGGTCAGCATCGCATAACCCAATAACTGTTCATCATCTTGTGATGTATCGCTTACTAACTAGATTTTGTTAATACTAAATTAATTTTCTTTCTTAGGCTGTCGGCAGTACTGCCGTCAATAAGGTCGCAAATTGTGCCTTCACGGGTAGCTTAGGACTAACTTCGTAGGCGTGAATATTTGGTATTTACAAGCGTTGAGATTGATGATCAAAGTTGGCATTCTGGATTCAGCTGTTTGGCATATTATATGTCCGCGAATACAGAGAAAACCAATCAACAGGCACTAACCAACAGAGAATCCGAATAGAATATGGTCGGTGGCCTTGCACTTCCCCCTCGTCACCATCGTACGCTTACAAGTGGTTGGTAATTGATTCGGCAATAAAATGGGGGCATCTTTAGTCTCGGGAATAAAAGGTTTTCGACATTGAACCTTTTCCCAGTGGGTTATGTGCGCGTCATGAGACCACATGCGGTCAATTATGTTTTATGAAATGGCGGACTATGCATTGAATTGAGTTGAACAAACGTATTATATGTGTGGAAGACCGAACTCGAGCCCAGAGCTTGATACAAGCAGAATTGCAGTTGCCAGAGTCCTCTATGTCTGCCTTTCACAGAGTAGATATGCCCCAAACAATACAACATTATGTGAGTTAGATATAATTGTGCATAAGTATTGGTTATCATAAGACGTGGCTATATAAACGCCTAGCTCATAGCCTAGGTCACTAGCTTAATTGCTAGATCATACATCTGTATTGTAATTCTTGTAGATCACTTTCAGAAAACATTTCAGTTGTTTTAGACACCGTAGAGCAACAACTTCTAAAGATACAGCATTTCTTCACTATACCGATCAGTCATCATACATTCCTATTGTATCAGTATTCCTATTCATATTATAGTAGTGGGACACGAGTACGGACACGTACGAATGAGAAACAATTGTGAGCTACTATTAATTATACGAGCTGTTATCGATTAGGTGCGCATCGGAGCAATATCCTTCAGACTGAAAGTTATAACCTGTCAATGCGGCACGTTCTGCTTTTGTCGTCCAGAGCACGCTAGGGGCTTCCCTGCAAATAGAGATCTTTTCGAGAAATTCTTGCCAAATTGAATACTCTTCCGTAATGACATGAGGTTTCCATCGAAAGCTCTAGTTAGAGCTTACAGGGTTAGTAATCACAGACCGAGCCGCAGCCGAAAAGCAAAGCGACAAAGGGAAATAATACTGTCGTATTAAAACCTTAGTAAACTGTCGCTTGGCGGTTCCGATCCACCCCCTTTCAACATGGGGATTTTGCTATCTAATTTATTGTTTGTTATATTTTATAATTACTTTATATTATTTTATAATTAATAATAAGACCGAAGGCGCAATTTGGAGTTATTTCACTATCATGCTATGTCAAAACAAAGGTACAGGTGTTTTGTCGACCTTTTCTATTATCAGTAAGTGCTTCACAATATGAGCAATACGGCAAACAACTCAAGATTTTTTCAAGCCTATTTTCTTCCTTTGAAGGAATCGCCGGCGAAATATTTCTCGGCTTTTCCAATGCCGGCCTTTTATTAACTACGTAAGTTAAATCTTCGTTACTTCCTCGACCGAGCAGTTTAGGCCCTTTATATATACTAAATAAGAATGTACATAGTGACGTGACTAAATATTATCGCAAAAATATTTGCACTCTTATACTTTATGTCTTTAAGGCATTAGCCAATAAGAAACTTTCAACTAAGAGAACTCAAGCTAGAGTTTCGAAGTAAATTCCCGGTTCAAAGATATCTTCGACGTTGTTATTTTCAACTGAAGTATTCATCGCTTGAAAAACGTTTGAATCGTACTTATCCGACATGATATCGTCCGATCTTTGTTTTCATGCGTTTGGAAGAACGATAAATAGAAAAAGGGCTATTTTGAAAAAGCATGCAGGGACGTTTTGTATTTTAATGTTTAGCTGATTTTTGATAAGCCAATTTCAATAAAAGCATCAATTGTGATCAGTGTCAAGGGCTACAGCAAATAAAGCAATTTGAGACCTACTTTTGTTGTTGCCTGCAGTTGAAGGCAGCCCTCGTACAACACAATGCTCGAACTAACAATGTTCAATGCGTCCTCGTTAGAAGGTGAATACATCTTGTTGTACTACGAAATCGGACGAAATAGGTGTCACACCTGAACCAAACAGAAAATCAGTTATATACTGGGTGACTTTGAACTCATATATCTCGAATATTACGGGTCGCGTCAGATCGGCGTTAATGTCGTTTGAAAATTGAAATTTGGCGGTAGTGGATGTTAGTAATATGTAGAAATCACTCTGCCTTGAAACTGAGCGAAATTTCTACAACGAAAATCTAAATAATTATCAGTTTTACTATAATAAAGGCACAAATGCTGCCCAGACCCCAAAAAATGTGTTATCGGAAGAAGCAGCTCAGGGGTTTATTGTTTTCATCCTCAAGCGATCAGTGTGAAAGATGCTTATTGTAGTAATCGAGCAACTATGAAAAAAGTTGGAGGTCAACTTATCGAGAACCGACATGTAACGAATCACGACATTCGCCAAGGAACTAGACATCCACCAGCAGTCTTAAACCGTTTCAAAGAGGCTGGCTTCAAAAGAAGCCCAATATTTGGGTGCCACATGAATCCAAGCAATAGATTTTACTGGATCATATGTCCTTCTGGGAAATCCTAGAGACGTAAGAGAACGAAACCATCTGAAGCGGTTCTGAAGCTGAGAGTGAATCACGCACGACAGTAACGCGAAAACGAGAAAATGCGTTCCACAATCTCGCAAAGGCCAAGCTGACGCCAAAGGAAGTGATGTGACCATGTGTTTGGTGAGACTGGAAAGAGATCATACATTATAAGCTGCTACAGCTCAGAAAAACGATTGACTCGAACCTTCACAGTTGACATCTAATGAGATAACAACAAGCCACGGAAAAAAATTTACGTTGAACAGTTAACAAAAGGGCGTCGTCTGCTACCATGACAATGCCAGACCACATACACATCTAGCTACCCGGCAAAATTTAAAACAACTCGGACGAGAAAGTTTGATGCGTCCACCGTACAGCGCAAATCTTGCATCATCAGACTAATATCTGTATTAGCCTCCGCAGGACTGCCTTCATGCCTGTTGTTCATTTTGTTCAATAGAGAAATGCAAAAACTACTTGTTATAATTTTTTGCTTGGAAATGTACAGAATTACAGTATAATATTATGGTGTTAGCAAGAAAGATAATCAATCAGGAAGGAGCATAAAAATTTAGTAATCTTGTTTTGAAAGATAAAATATATTTACTTTCATTTTGAATTGCCAAAATGCAGTCAATATTTTTTCGTTTACCCAATGCGGAATAAGCCATTTGCGCTACGAACCTATGACAACCTACCAAAGTGTAGTGGTCAAAAATCGCACAGATCGCAGAGGATACGTTAGGTACGAAAAAACCTTTTGTAAATAAGTTCCGACCAATTGTGCATCCTTTAGACATGCAATTTTTAATCAGTGACAATTTCTGCAAACCGAGGAAAGCCTCAGAATCTCTAGTTAGATAGACCAAGTTGGGCAGAAGTTATTAAAGAATATCAGGATATAGAACATTTGTAACGATTTTGTTTTGTATTTTGGACAATGTCGTGTAAATTAATTTTGGTGGAAAATTTAGCACATCGAGCGTTCAACGGAGGCTTTAAGCTTTAATTTAAAAAGTTCCCATTTATTCTTTGCTGGTGAATAAATAAAAGGCTAAAGTTACTAAAGCTGCACAACTTGTAGAACTCTGAAGATGAGCTTTTCAACAAAACTCTAGCAGCGTCTCCACTCTAGAACTATCCAGTCAAGGCATACGGGTCAAAAAGGAAAACTTCATTGGAAAACCTTCCCGGGCGGATGTTCCTGTATATAAAAACCAATGTTTGCAGTCGCATTGATTTGTTTCATAAAATTGGCACTCCGCCAGGCTTCCTCGTTAACCCTCAAGATGGTCTCAGGAGCATAAGATAGTCTGCTGGTCTCGCTTGAGGCAGTTTTTTTGGACCAAAAGCCTTCTCCTCGGTGTCCTGTAGAAACATCGTACTTCGACAGAAGCTTACTCTTGCTAAGGTTTTCTAAACAATAGAGCCTTGAATTGAAGCTATGTGGATGAAGTTGCTGCCAACACAATCCCGCTCCTCTCGGATAGCGCCAAACTACGGAAGAGCCAGCTCCAAAGTAACTCTAAGGCCATCCTGAGGAGGCGCTGGCTTCGGCCGATTTTAGACATACACGATGCATTCCCATTGTAGAATTCGTTCAAATCAGAACCAGGAATAACCTGATTGATGCTTTCACGCCACATGGGCGACGAGAGTTTCGATCTCTACCGCACCCGCTTCAACCTGAGTCTGATTTACTGTTATTGGTTTGGTACTAGAAAGCTCTTTGGCTTCTATTATACTCGCTACATTCACTTAGGAATTATAATATTACTTGTACTCACTGCGGACATCTTATGTAAATTAGCTTGGTCAAACGATGGCGGTCGTTTGTTTGCCGAAAACAAGTATCGTTGCATAGTTTTGCCTTGCTCTCCAATCTGACTTTGTCTATACCATAAAGTTTCACATATCGTTCTGATTATGCTTCTATCAAGTGAGACAATTTCAATTGATAATTGATAAAATAACAACAAGATTTTAAAAAATAAATGACAATAATAATATAACCTATTTTGAAAGTCAACGGTACGACTAAAAGGCAGAGCAGAAACCGATTTTAGCGGAAGCCAGCGAAATCCGTGCAGGAAAGTAAAACGGCCCAAAAAATAACAAAAAAAAACTCTGAAACGCTTATATGTCAATAATAAACACATCAAGTTTGAACCGTACTTACTAATTAAGTGAATACCATTGTAGTAGTAAGAGGAATAAGCACCCAAGTCAAACTGCGTCTATCAGTTTTTACACCCATGAACACAATCTGGACTGAACGGTCTCACTAGCTCCGTCGATGGAAAAAGAGCAAAGTATATAACGTTCTGAATGACAAGAGTTAAAAATGCCGTAATCGATCGACTCCATCACTGCTTGAATATTAGTTTTTTTGTTTCTGGATAATCTCAAGAGAAAAAACGGGGATTGCTAGGTCACAGAAAGGCGGCGACCATCCGCCAGGGCCACTATCGAGACCCTGTTTGATCCCTTCGTACGACAGAGTCATACTCGAACTTTGTTAGACGATAAAAAAAACATCAAAGGCGTACTTGCAGGACTAAGGCGTTCGACATCATAAAAAAACGCTTTAAAAGGCACGGCGGTTATCAAGACTAGAAATGTCTAGGACAACAGCACGAAATATCTACATGCAGCAGATCACTATTCAACTGGAAAAAAGCAATTTGCGCAAATAATCCTTCTTTCCTTGAGAAGCGCCAACATCTAACCTAGCCTACTTTCATAACTTATAAATTCACCTAATAGTAAGTAATAATAACACTAGCATTTGCGAAGAGTTAAACGTGTGTGTGTGTAAATATAAACTTATAATAACAACAAACTAAAATTTAGTTCGGTTTTCAATTTGGTTTAAAACGAAGTTAATTTCGCATCGTACAAGTTTTAAGCGAAACTGTTGACCGTGGCACGACCGACATGCACATTATAAACGTGCTCAAGATAATGTTAGTTAATGTGGAAATGTTAAATGTGTCAGTTGGAGAAGCATGTTTTTCCTTTTGACAACACAGTGTAGTCATCACTTTGGCCATTTTTCCTCATTTGCCAGTTCGACAGCCGGTGTCGAGCGGTTCGCCCATAACGAACAACGGCTTAAATATATATCCAAAACGTTTCTCTGAATGACGAAAATGCGTGAACCAAAAAGGCCTGTAACTTGCTATACTTTCGACATATTGTAACCGTCTCTCTAAGAAATATCTCTATTTATATAAAGATATTTCTTAGACAATGACAACAGTCGTTTGTTTCAATATATTCATGGTCGATAAATTACTGCCAACCTATTTATCTCGTAGAGGGAGTCTTGAGTGCTATTTAATAGTGTATTTGTAGGTAGTCCTTACCGAAGAGACGGTCATCTACATGTACAAGCAATGATGCTTAAGTCAACGAAAGATCCATCAAAAGCACGAAACCTCTGCGTATGCACCAGGTGCGCCGCGAATCTTCAACGGTGGATAACGATACTTGCATAAACTGTGTTGTATTACTACCTAATAGCAAATGAAGTCGCCCTGAATATGACATGCTACACTGCCTTTAAATATTACGCATGCCCTAGAGCTACAATGAAGGACACGTCCTTAACGCTGTCAGTCCTATTTCGTGCATGAGCCACTAATATGAATATGTCAGTTTTCAATTGTAAGAAGGCATGCTCAAACATATTATTAAGACGTATTTTCGACCGGAGGCTGGATCCGTTCGGGAGCCTTGCGCCACCGTGAAGAACACAATCGCGTATATCCAAGCAACGAGATCTTAGCGTATCGTTACCCCACTTTATGCTCTGTACCACAGTAACCGTGTCACGCATTCAGGAACTCAATAGAAAAATAAGAGTGAATGGACAAAAATCGATAAATATTTTAAGCTAGGCGAAAAATAGGTGGCGTCCTTTCGTTTTCTTTTTTCAATTTATAGTAATAGACTCGTTATGCCAATGCATAGAAACTATGCTTCAATCGTAGAAGCCTAGGGTGAGTCAACGATAAGGAGTGTCGTTATTAACTGTATCTGATAGCCCACAGAACACTAGTTCGTAACGAGATGTGATAAAATCTCATGAGTTTCTAAAGATCGCATAACTATCTGTCAAGCGTAACTTAGTAAGTTCAATTCAACTTGCTTTGAGGACGAATGCGCAAGTTAGCCAACAATGCGTCTGCCAATTTCCAAGATAGGTCTCCACGATGCATTATAAACTTCGATCCATATCTGATGTTGGCCACTTCATGAGAAATGCCCCAAGTGATTCAATGCAGCTCATATGCGTATGAAGCGGTTATTGTTAAAATGATTATTTTTTAGGTTAAAAACAATAACGTCGACTATTAAGCATTCAGCACCCAGAAAATTGTTTCAAAACGGGAAAACAACGAATGGTGAACCTCAGTGCTCAACTGGCAGCCCTTCCATTTATACAACATGACCCTGCGGTAATCTATTTACTTACAGCCGAAATCGTTTTGTTTATAAGGTGCAAATGTACTATTTAGACTCGCTTTGAAACGTAGATTTTCGCCTAGCACAAGTTAACCGAATGTTTATTTATTTTCATCATAGAAACGTTAGCCTTGCTTCTATCTTTTTCTAGATCGCGTCTTTACCGAGAAATTAGTACCACTCATTGTTAAACTACCGCTGATAGAAAGTCGTACTGCAGACGGCTTTTGTCGCTTTAGACAAGCAAACGAATTTGTCAAAGTAAGTATGAACTTGTCAACTGAGAGCTTTTCTGTGAAACTAAGCCAAGCTAAGCTGAGATATATTAATGAAAAAATATCTATATGTACCAGCTTCACCCTTTGTAACATGCGAGGTGTTCGGAAACCAAGATGATTGTCAACACCTCCCTTTTTTACCGGCAGGTTTATATGCAACCCATTGTCACTAACTGCTTTTTATTAATCACAAAAATCCACCTATAGTTGACTGATCTGCCAGGGCCGAACGTGGCGTGGCGCACGTCGCATATAAGTGCGATTCCCCCGACTGTTTTTGTCTGCGAATTGAGCTCAGCTTGTGTTTTCTTTTAAGGTCTATCCAAATGTTATTTCACACTCGGCCTGACATAAGGCCCCGAATCCTGCTGATTTCCGCTAGCCAGTCCTATTGGCAAAGACCGCTATTTCCCGGTGTAGTCTACAGCGCTGCTTCCTGCCTACCAAAGGCAGTTACACTGCAACAAAAATCCGCCAAAGGCTGGCTGAATTATTTATATGTAAAAAGAGCTTGTGAATTACTGCTGGCGCCTCGTATAGTACTAGTACTTCACCTACGAGCGTTACGGGAGCATGAATATCGCCGGTAATAGTGGGGGGCACAGGGTCACGAACAGAAGAACCAGGAGCAGATTACCGCCGAAGACATCCGGATGCGCTATTCAAGATATATGGAAGATTTATTCCAGTGGAAGTGGGGCTGAAACGGAGAATCATTTAAATTAGTTTCTCTGACTCAATCCATTCTTTGTGTATCAACACTTGGCAAGCAGTAGATTATATTTGCTCGGCCTCTTTCAGGCGGAGAGAGACAGACGACTCTATAACGAGAAATAGAGTAGCCGATTGTTGCGGAGACAATGTCTAGTCTAAAAACGAACGCTAGCTTAAACACTCTGCACGTGTCGTGCGCATGCATATCAAAGGACGCCCGAAACACTTTCGAGTGTGAAGGCAGGAAACATACAAGACAAATATGTGTACGTATGATGTTGTGGAACCGATGTAGAAGCTCAGATCACCGCGAATACGCGGAGAAGGTTGCATCACGTTCATAACTTTAGCATTGTTTATCTACCTATATGCCATAATGGCATCTACTCGGATCCCATCAAGGGAAACAATTGTGGAAGTTTATTTTCTCTTCAATTTACCCTCTTCCCGCTACTAACACCCAATCAATACAGTTAATAGCTATACGAAGTCATTGAGCGCCTTTCCACTTTCACCAGTAGGAAGTCTGTAGACACCTGCAGGAGAAAGTAAAATCGACGAAACGGGAAACGTTTCTTTGTATCGACCAACTAGAACGATAAACTAGCAAAAAGTACAAAAAAAAAAAAAAAAAAAAAAGGTTTAGTCATGTTTAACTTTGTTTCTAACTATAACAAGTGAGAGTCTGGCTTCTAACGGATCATGAAAGTGATCTTTTTGGCGCGTATTTTAAAATCAATCACATATAAGTCCTTGCAAGGCTAGGCCGGCAATCATGGTTTTTAGCGAAAGATGCCTTTGGCTCGTAGAGAAAACGGGATCTTACTCAGGCGTATGTTTTGTTGCAGTGCGTTTTTTACTATCGATATTTTATTCAGTCATAAATAGATTAGAATTGACAAAAACATGGCCTTAGTTCATATGCTTAAGCGTTTATTATGGGTAACTGACATCGTAGCACACTTAAAATAAATAACAGGTAAAATGGGGAAGTCTCTATAAATTGGAAACTAAATACTAATACTAATTGTATGTTTTAGCCATACGTTTACTCATTTCCACACACATATATATATATATATATATATAGCGAAAGCTAGATATATGGCTGAGAAATATAAACGACTTTCATGTCTGTTCGAGAGCCAAACGTCAGACGCGCACTAAAGCGTGGCAGCTGATTTTGATCGTAGATTCTTTAGGGGGTATATTTAGTGCACCTTTTTTCAACATTACAAAAAACAACATAAACTTATAAAAATATAGCTTTTTAACTTGTGTAGCACCACAGAATTACTATGAAGTGATTGAGATCGTTGCTTCATTGGAATTAACACTGTATATGCAAATAACGCGATGTGCAAATTCCTAGCTTTCCCTAGCTTCATTAGTTCTGCATTTTACGTTCAATGGAAAAAATATCAATATTATTATCGCCATGATTATTATTGGTAATTGTCAGGAAGTTTGCTCCCAATTTTTGGATGATTTGTGCAATTTTTCGAACGTTTCATGATAGAAACTTGTACATTTTTAAAAAACGACAAAATAAAAAAATTGAATTTTTGAAAATACATTTTTAGCGATTCAGAAATAAAATGGTGCACTCTTTGCGATTTTTGCAAGAATTGATTAATTAAGGCTGGAGAAAGAGGAGTGCGGTAGGCACTAAGAGAATGGTTTAGCGGGAGCGGGTGAGCGGATTACTTACTAAGTGATGCCGCAATGGCAACCCAATTCGTTGCAACTGAGCTGTGTTTTTAGGTAAGATTTCAACGATAAACTAAAGACACGAATAAGACTGGCTTTTAACTTACGCATATCAGTTTATTTGCACTCTAAAATAGGTGACTACTAACCAAATATATATATATATATATATACAACGTTTGCAAAAATAGTTATTTTTACGCTCGCGGTAGCCGCCGGTTGTAATTAACAAAGTCGATAGATAACGTGTCTAGTCACTTTATCGTAGTTCCTTCTAAATACATTTTTCCATTCGTGACTTGCATTCCCTTTATTTATTTGATGAAAAAAATTCCTTAACGCAAAGTTGCCTATTTCTTTTAGAAAGACAGGTTCGATGCTGTTTAGCATAGAAAACTGCTCTGCT